TCCTGTCAGAGCCAATCAATTCTGTAACGGAACGGCAACCAGTGCAAAGAAAATAACATGACTCGACTTTTCATGAAACCCGAACAGAAACTGCTGAAGAAGCTTTCAAACGCGTCTCATTAAATAGTCAAACGCTGTAGGCTACTTATTTGTCCACACTTTTTCTTTTGAAATTATGCGAATCTGAAAAAGCTGGTGTCCTCGGTGTTCCCAAACGCACCTTAAACTCAATGCACATGCAGAGATTGACTTCGCTGCATTCACTGAACCGAACCGCAGAAAACATCACAAGCTGATCGCGTGAGCAAAGTGCGCGCTTCTCTTTAAAACAACAAGTGCAAACAGACTCATCATTAAGGGCACAAAACCCTTCGATTTTAGTTCGTTTGACACGCTTTGTCAAAGCAATGGAGCAAAACATTAGAGACCTGTTATGTTATTACGAAAACTGTAAACATATTTTCGGTTTATTATAAAACTGCGGCGGACCGCCAGAGTAATGAGGAGGCTATTATATAATTACTTCTCAGTTGCTGATCAGAAGTAGGCTACTCAAATAAACTTACCTAGTTTATCTTGATGCGCATTGCTTAGACAAGGGTGGGAAATAAGCCAAACCGTTACTACGCCTATAAAGAAAAGAGAGCGTGTGAACCATTTTGCCATTTTAGACGCGAGCCCTGAACGCGTCTCTGGTTGTGCCGCGCGTTTTATTTCTGCAAGAGTGCGCCAGCAGCTCAATGTGCCGAAAAGCCTTTAATTGGACGGAAAAGTTTAAGGCGGGCTGTAATACTATTGGCCTACAAACTAAAAGGAAGCGAAAAATCCAACATAAAGCACCTTAAATTTTTCATCCAGCTGACACTTTCTGTGGTAAAATGTAAGAAAGATTTCGTTCTCTAGCGCATATGCTGCTCGATGAAACTACACCGTCTTCATTCCTATGACACATTATGTTGTGGGAAAAGTGAAATCGTAAAAATGTAGTCCATTTAATTTCACTGTCAATAGAGAGAAATACAAGGGATTTGTCTCAAGGAGGCAATAAACACGAGAAGTGCATATAATATAAAGTTTCAAACACTGTCTAGAATAGTAGCCTATATGAGCTAGACAACAGTTTCATTTCAGTTCATGACATAATGCATCTCTTCATTGTCATGAACTGAATGTTTCATTCAAGTACCAATGACAAAAGCTACAAATCTATTTTTAAATATTATTTATATATATATATATAATATTTTTTTTGTATATTCATTTTCACAGTCAACAAGAAGTCATATATATATATATATATATATATAAAAATCTAATAATTTACATTGTTTCAACATGTTTCCAGTGCATACGAGTTGGAAATCGGTGAAGATCTTTCTACAAAGTATATCATGTTGCACCATGTACATAAACACATACTCAGTATTAAGACATTTATTTCTGATATTGCACACTGAACACAAAACATTGTCCAAACGGGCACATTTATGCATTTGTGAGAAACTTATCAAAGAGACTTACAATGCATTCAAGCTTGTAAATTTGATCAATAGATGTTTTCTCTGGGAATCAAATCCATGACAATTGCATTGCTAACACTGATCATCACTAGTGGCTACAGGAACATTATAGAGTTACAATTACAATGAATAGACACACGCAAAGACAAATTAGCTGCCAAAAATCAAAACAACATGGGTTCACAGATTCAACACAGACTCAAAAGATAAAAATAAATAAGTCTCCAGATAGGATTTAAAAACATAATTTGAAAGGAAGGAACTTCAGTTATAAATATATACATAGATTAAATTACAGGCTATAGATATATCACATAAATTCAAAGCTTGAAACACTGAAACACTAAAGCAATTATTACTGAGACACTATTACAAAGGCTGCCCATCTTTACCTTATCAAATGTCTCTCTATAAAAAAATATTTTTTATCATAAAATATAATTATACCTGGTAACGTGTATGGCCATACATCAAATTTTAGATTAGTACTGCAATAAACAGCAGTATGTGTGCTTAATTCTATATTTGTTTTTCCCATTATTTGTGTATACCTCTATTTGTGCAATTTGTAATACCTCTTATAATAGTATTATACATTTATAATAGTCTGCAAAATATGCCAGAGCTGATACATAATTTTCTTAATTTGCTCTGAAAATTGTGTAAATAAAATATATTTGTCTTTTATATTTTGTGGTTTTAACTGTCTTTTTTTTCATGAACAACTCCAATCAGGAGCTACAGGTTTTATTTACACTGTAACTGTCACAGTTGCCTTCTGTGGCAACACGGAGACGAGGACAAACTCAAAATAAACAGTCTTTAATCCACAATCCAAAAGGGGTACACAAGGCAGGCAGAGACACACAAAAACCACAACATCGACGTTAATACCGGACACTAGATACAGGAAAACACAGGGCTTAAATACTCAAACTAAACGAGATACTTAAACACAGGTGGATACTAATGAACCAATGAGGCCAGGAACAGGAACATAACCAAATATGGGCATAAGGAAACACATGGGGAGCAAAATACACACAAAAAACACGAAACTGAGTTTATCGCGTTTTGGAACCAAACAAATATTCCTGAATTTTATAAAAATTTAAATGACAGTCTTTTGATCTACTGCATATACCTGTATTTTTATTTGAAAAATACGATTTTTACATGGCAACTTGATTTAAAAATAGTAGTGATTTCAGTTAAGATGTTTGTACATACTGTCATTTAAGATTGTCAAAATCAAGCTTTGATTAGAAACGAGTCATAATGTAGATTCATTGCTTTACCAGTGTGGTTTACATGTATACAGAGACTGGACATCAAAATATACAAATCAAATGGAACTGATTTTATTAATGTATAAAATGAGAGAATAATAATTCCCTCTTCACTATCTCATCCATTTGAATACTACATACTGCTTTTATTGTCCTCATTTGTAAGTCGCTTTGGATAAAAGCGTCTGCTAAATGACTAAATAAAAAAAATTAAAATTTGAAGAAAAAGAAAAGCATCAATAATTCTGTGAATCTGATCCTTAAATAGCAGTTGTTAAATAAAAATTCTTATAAGAAAGTTGTTTTTATGTATTTTTCTGTAACTTAATCCTGGTTCTCGTGATCCCCAGAAGAAAGTTCCATGGAATGAACTGTATTCCGATTGACATGGTCCCTACACAGTGTTCACTGCTGTCTGCTCCCTGTGCACATGGGAAATCGGCTGACGTTTACTTAACAAGAACACAGATTTGCGCTACACCACTGCCTGCAGCGTCTTCACACAGACAAAACTTACTACAGAAGTGTTACAACCATAATCATGAGCAGGAAATCTCACACTCATCCAGGCCACACAGAAAAAAAGGGGTCAAAATTGTACCTTTTGCGGTAAAACAGCTTGTTACTGTATAGCAGTACTCTTAAAAGAACATCTTGGTACCTTTTTTTTACCCCTAATAGGTACATATTAGTAACTTAGAGTATAGTCATTCATACCCTTAAAGTACACATTTGTAGGCCTACACTGTAAAAAATAAGTGTAATTTTAACTGTAACATTTTTTAAAAACGCTATGGAAAAAAACTGTTAATAGGTTAACAGTAAGTTCCCGTACTATATACAGGGAAAAACGGTAAAATATCTAACCAGACATTTCATGTAATTTTACAGTTTATATAAGTAAAAATAACAAATCAATGTATAATTTACAGTCAAAAACTGTAAACTGATATTCCCAGAATTCCCTGCATGACTCTCCACATTTGAAAGTATTTTGTTTAAATAATCATGTTTTTTTTAATAGTTTTTGTTATTAGTTATGTAAATATTGGGCTTTATGTTACATCTTCTGTTGTTTAATGAAAGTTGAATGCATTATTTAAGTATCGTGTGTTACCATGATGGTGTTTAGTGTTTGCATGAATGACTCTGTGCACCTTCTCTATATTAGTATATACTTCTGCTTGTGGCGAAGCTGCTTGTGATGAGCTTTGATTCTTCATGTGGCTTTCTCTTTTACCACCTGCATTATTATGCTGGTTGTCGGTATGTTAAAGGTACAAAACAGATTTTAATAGCAGTGTGCATTGTTGAATTTACTGGTTTACATTCAAATTTCTTGTTTGTAAATTACAGTTTTATACTGTAAAATTTACAGTGTTTGGCCATAAATGTGTTTACTGTTTTTCTGTATTTTTTACAAAATTATTCTGACAACCACAGCTGCCAAAATTATTTAGTAAAAACTACAGATTTTGTTTTACAGTGTACCTATTAGGGGTAAAAAAGGAACAAAATATTTCCTTTTAAGGGTCCTGTTCCAGTGACAAGCAGTTGTACCCCAGAAGATGCAATTTTGGCCCCTTATTTCCTGTATATAGCCTATACATCCACAGCAATTTCTGAAACCAGACAACCCTATTATTTGTATGGCCATCACATAAAAAAGGTCTAAATCCTTAGTCTGAGGCCATGGAAAATAATTAAAGGTTCTCTCTTGCACTGCGCCTTTCCCTTTTCTTCATTTTCCCCAACCCCAATTTCTTCATCATTTGCTTTGAAAAAGCAGCTTAATAAATTCTGTTGTACAGTAATCAGTTGTTCAGAAGCATTTATACTATAAGCTATTATACACCGTTTCATAATTGACCATGTCAGTTTGCCAGAGAATAGAGAACTACAGTTCATGTTACACATTTTATGTATTTTTCATCCTTTGAAATGTTTCAAGAAACTTTCAAATGTGGAAACATATTTCAACTGAGCATAAAGAAAGATAATAAACAAGTATTCTGATTAAATATTCTGAATAAAGCAAAAACAAATACAAACTATTTTTTTCCTTGCAGAATGGAGCAAAAAATGTAAGAATACTATTGCTATGTGTACTGCATTAGACCGACCGGGACTTGTCACAGCACTTACATAATATTGCTCTTTTGTTGGTTTGATTGCTTCTATTGTGCTCATTTGTAAGTTGCTTTTGATGAAAGCATCTGCTAAATGAGTAAATGTAAATGTAAAATCATAATTACTCTAACTACTCATCGTATATATCCCACTGGTAACTTCACAGACCTGGAAAAGATACAGCATATTATAAAAATTTCATATCTAACACATACAGATATCATATCAAGGATATTTAGAGGTTTAATGCAACAATGATCATGCTGAATATTTATAACTCACTATTTGATCTTCTCCTTTTTCTGCAGATGCAGCAAACCATCACAATGATCAAAAATGCTAGTATTAGCAGAAATGCTAATACTGCTGCTTTAACAGACCGTGGAGGATCTGGTTCACAGTTAGAACATTCTCCATCTGCACAATGAAAATAATAAATAAAAAATAATTGTATAATCACTGTTTTTTAATAAACATTAGAAACTATTGAAATGCAGTAAGACACTTTAAACTTAATTGTTTGTGGCCAGCAACAATAATCTATTTCAGCATTATCATGTTCTCCTGTTACAAATATGTGAGTGACTGTATTTCTGGTGATATTTACCCCATTCTACTGAAGCTGGTTCTGTCAGACTGCTGTGAATGACAAAACAGTCATAAGATCCTTTGTGGTTTCTGTCGATCTTCACACTGGTTCTCAGCTGAAAGGATCCATCAGCATTTGGTCTGATTCCAGAAGATGTTTGATTCTCAAGAATATTTGTGTCCAACCTAATGTACATCTCAATATCTCTGGGGTAGAAACCAGTGGCCAGACAGATCAGAATCTGCTTACTGTGATCATCAGGAGCTTTATTTGCAAAGATGTGAATATCTGGTTGACCTGAAGCAGAAAATAGTAATACAATTAACAAACAAACATTACAATTTCTGTAATTGCTTTCTATGCTGTCAAAAATTTTATTCTTCATTTGCTTAAAACAAAATCACATTCTGTGTCCCTGAAAGAACACTGTAAAAAATATGATCAGTAAGTCATGCAAACGTGTTTTTTCATTAGTTTAACTCATCAAAATAATTTAACCATGCAGTTTCAACTTCATTGTTTAAGGTATATGAGATTGAAATAGATTAGCCTATACATTTTAAAAATGAGTAGAGAAATGACTTGTACAGACAATTTGATTATACTTAAAAAAAGTAAGGTAGGAAATGGCCTTAAGTTTTTTAATTGAGGTGGATTTTTTTTTTACAGTGAAAGTCATACATGTTTGAATATTTAAATATTGCTTGAAATAGAGCCCTGCACGGGCCTCAAATTTAGGCCCTGGCCCGAGACGCTCAGGCCCTATAGCCCTGCCCGTGACCGACAGCTTATCAGAATTACCGGCCCGAGCCCGTCTTTCCCCCCCTTCTCCCAAAACAGCTTATACTACTGTTTCAGCAATTAAAATAGTTCAGTTTTGTATGTAATAGCAAAGTGATTATATTTTGTTTCATTTTTTTATGAAGTTAATTAAAAAAACGTTTGGAGCATTTTTTGTTCGTTAAATATACGTTTTTGTTTTTTTAAAGTAACGACCAAGCGGCCAGCGGCAGACAGTGAGCTGATAGCCTATGTTTGATAAATTTAGCCTTCTCAAATCATCACGACTTGCCTAAAATAAAATCTATAGATATAAAACAGTTCAAGCATATAACAATGTTTAAACGTTAAACCTAGATAAATGTGCGCTATATTCAATCGTTTTGCGGAGAGTTGAAGCTAAAGCGCGCTTTGCAGGACATAGAGACGCCAGCGTGATCACTTGCATTTTTTTCAGAGGATACGCCGTCATTTTTGCTCATGAAGGTAAGAGCAATACATCATTCATAACTGTAAAGGGTCTACTTTTATTTGTGTGCACTCACAATATCAACAAATTTTATAAAATTAAGAAAGCAAACATGATGCGCTTTCTGCCGTCTCGGTCTTGAACAGGAGCGCTTCACAAAAATGAATCGAAACTCAGCGAATACATGCCTCACAGACATGATAAATAAATCTATAGAAAGTTTTAAATTACTACTTAACGAAACAAAACAAAACAAATAAAAAACTCTTTCATTATAATCATAATCCATAAAGATGCACTTCTCTCTAAAGGCGCGTCTGAGGAGATGGCGAGTCAGGATCGGCAACTTCATCCTTGCGACACCGACTCAGAAAACAGTAGTTTTTAAGTACATAACTCAAATATCTCCTTACTATTTCCCCCTGTCACATTTATGGTAATTACTTTTGCCGGTGCTTTGCGGCAAGCTTAAGCTTATTGCTTGTATTTGAACGCAGAACTGTTCAGCTGTGCTGACGGCACGCACCATACATGCTGCTGCTGCTGGACACTAAACACCGTCGAGCCGCTCTTGACAGTTGCGGTAGCACTATGAACTATGACGTGAAAATTGGCCCGAAGCCCGGCCCGAGGGGCGTAAAAAAAGTCGGGGCCCGTCAGGCCCGGGCTGAAATGCAGGGCTCTAGCTTGAAGTGTCCTCAATGGTGATGATAATGATGATAAACAACCTCTCTACCAAGACAGAATTAGAAAGAGTAAAACAAAAACAAAAACACACACAAGAGCTAATTAAAGTATGGCAATCAGAACCTACTCTTATATGTGTTGTTAAATGTGGAGATCCAGTTCATGCAGTTTGTGAGGAAATCTGTGAGGAATGGGTTTCGTCCAGTTTGATGATCCATTTTGGTTTCTGTGACTTTATCCATCCACGGAATAGGTTGGTTGTACTTATAGATAGTAAAATCCTTTCCATCGTATGCACTCTTATCAAAGGCATTCAGATTCGTCACTGTTCCATCAAGACGTTTCACCACTTCACAGCCAGTTATTCTCTGGAGTACGTGAAACTCTAAAATCACACAAAATCATTATATATATATATATATATACACACAGTTGAGGTTTACATCCCTCTTGCAGAATCTGCAAAATGTTAATTATTTTACCAAAATAAGAGGGATCGTACAAACTACATGTTGTTTATTAGTTGAATTTATAAAAATGACGCCGTTCAAAAGTTTACATAAGCTTGATTCTTAATACTGTGTTGTAAGATTTTTTTTTTTGTTCGTTTTCTCCCTGTTTCTCTCTCTCTATCCTTTTACTTAATATAAACAGGAGGTAATGCCTGCCACCTGATTCCAGTGATTGGTGATCTGATGTGATTGCAGGAGGAGGGGAAGCAGTGAGGAGTTAAGCAGCACCATTGCACAGCACAAGGTGTGTGTGGAGGCTGCGTCGTGAGGCTTCTATTCTCAACCCAAAAAGCTTTATTGGTTGTTTTGGTTAATACTTTGTTGAATGATTTCTTTACTACGGAAGTTCTAAGCGGCCATGCATTATTTATTTTTTCCCTTCTTGTTTTCTCGTTATAACGACTTATTTTCTCGTGATCTCGACATAAAAAAGTTGTTCTCTAAGTTACAAAACTGCGCCAACAGGTGGCACTATTGACCTGAATATAACTGATGGGGTGTTGTAGGCTATGCTGTATGTCCACTTTACTGTACGTGTTTGGGATAGAATATGAACGACCTCGTGATCGCTATAATTTGTGCAGTATTGTTCATTACTGACATTTTTTTGTTGTTGTTTTTTTCCTTTCCTGAGCTCATATGTTAAGAGAAAAAGCACTAAACTCACCAGAACACTCTGCAGTCAATTTGCACTTTGACAGATCATATAGATAATTTAAGAACTCTTCTCTAGTTTCAGGTGGTTCTGCAGGAGCTTTGTTCCAGTCGTCTACAGTCAGATTGTCTCTTTCCCAGGCTCGTTTTTCATTACTGTAGCGAACAATCTGTTTGTCATCAGATTCAGCCTCAGCACTGAACTCAGGAAATGGACCTGCTTTGGTCAAGCCTGTATACATGTAGTGCAGGCAGTGTTTCTCTGAGGAAGATAAAAAGCACAAACCACAATAAAAGAAACCGCAAAAAGCTTTTCTTCTGCCAGCAAGCATGTAAAAAATAATGTAGGGTCACACCTGTCATTTGTAAATTCTTACTTAAACTGGAATGTAAAATCCAAACTAGAGGCTTTAGTAATTACTAGCTAGTCTGAAACTAACTCTGTACTTTATTCGGCTGCAACATTTGTTGCACTCGCAGAAAAAAATATATATAAAAAAGCTGTCACTGTAGCCTTCACTTTTCAAAAGGGACATATTTGTTCTTTATTTATCCCTGAAAGTACATATTAGTACTTTAAAGGTACATTTTAGTACATATATAGTACATTTTAGTACCCAAATGGTGCAATTTAGTAACATTTGAAAGAGTACCGGGCCAGTGGCATCTTTTGTACCTTTTCTCTGAGAGTGTACAGACTGTGGCCCACTAGTGCACAACAAGCAAGCCAGCAGCAGAATCAAACCACACAGGAAACTTACAAAGCAACAAAACAACGACAACGTAATGGAAACAAGCAACAACATGATGGTTTTTATCTGCAACATTCAGTAATTGTATTTTAAATAAATAAGAATCAACAAATTAATAGGCCTATATAGGCTAAAAAAAAAACATACAATTTTTTTTTTTATTATGATTGATTTTGCTATGCAAGCAGATGAGCGCTGTTTAGGTCAGGTTCGCGTTAAAGACAGCTAACATTTATTCACATAATGTTCACTCTCTTAAAATGTAAATGTCAGCATTGTACTTGTCAACATTATAATATATGTCTAAATGACTTAAGTCTGTCAGGTAAAACAAGAAGTTAATCTTCTGTTTTATTCCAATCAGTAAGCTATATAGCCTACATTATTTACGTAACTGTACAAGTCCCAAATTTGACCAGAAAACGTTGTGCTTACCTTCTTTCGCATTGCTTTGAGGAGATATGAAAATAAAAATAATTAATAAAATTAGCCAAAACATTCTTGTCTACACACACACACACACACACACACACACAAAGTTTTGAACGAGAACGCATGAAATATTTCAGTCCTTTTTATTTCAGTCGCGCGCCCTGAACAGATCAACAGTGAAATGAAAGTTTCTAACTTTTCTTCCAGGTGTTACTGAGCGCATCACTGCCCCTCACTGGCTGCTGATTAAATTACACTTTTGTTTTCCAGCCGTAGATTCCATCCGTATAATCAAAGTCATTGTCAACAACATCTTCTTTAAACGCTCTTTGACACAAATGACCAAACAGGTTCAAACAGGCAAACAAACAAATGAATAAATAATCACGTAATACTAAAACTAAAATCCTCAATTAAAACATCTAAAGTTTACTTTGGGGAAAAATAAATTTTTATTTGCTAAAATGATAAAAGATCTGATTGATTTATTGTAAAATGTGATTGTCACTGTAATTTCCCAAAAGACATTATTGATTCTCATTACTGTGTGTCATTACCTGGATGATTCACGACTGTTTTTATGATTTGTTTTCATGATAATTCCCATATTTGTTCTTAGCAGTCTGGTTCTGTCCACAGTTCTTCAGAAAAACCCAGCACATTCTTTTGTTTTCCAGCATCTTCGGCATATTTGAACCCTTTCCAGCAGTGACTGTTTGATTTTTGAGATCCATCTTTTCACACTGATGTCAACTGAGGGACTCGTATACAACTATTTCAAATGGTGAAAATGTTTACTGATACTCCAGAAGGAAACACAATGCATTAAAATTCAGGAGGTGTAAACATTTGGACAGGGTGATTGGGGGATAAATTGTGCTTATTTTTCTTCTGGAAAATATGTAAGTATTTTATGTAGCTTCTGCAGGGCAGTACTAAAATAATAATAATAATAATAATAAGATCTTTAAATAAAAACAATTTCCAATCATCCTGTTCAAAAGTTGAATGTGTTGCGTTGCCTTGAGCATCTGTTAATGTTCGCAGCTTTTGATCATCCAGGTAACAACACACTATTTAGAATTATGAATATGTCAACTTTTGAACTGGATCTTTTGTGTAAATTCAGTTATTATTATGGTTTGTGGTCTGTATGTAAACAAACATCACCTGACTTGTACTGTACATATATTTGAAGCTCCTCTCAAATTACTTTTGTTGCAATAAGCAATCCCCTTATTGCCAAAAACCTATGAATCATAAATCAAATCAAGTGTCACCAACCAACGCTAAAAAATAAAAATAAAATGGCATAGAAAGAGAAACTGTCATTAACTTTTTCCTATAAACCTTCTGATCGAGATTGAGGACTAGATGTTGACAAGCTAGTGCATTCAGGCGCATACATATTTCAAAATTCAGCAACAAATGGGAACTAGAACGACAACTGTTACTCCTGGCCACAGAGATTTTGTTTCACATTCAGGAGGTGTTCCATCTGCAGAAGGAAGAAAAAAAAATTATATATA